TCCCGACAGAAGAGAAGTGGAGAAAGCACACATCCTTGGGGGGGCCCTGTGCTAATTGTACAGGTATCTGATGTGATTTTGCTTAGCTTCACCTGCTACTTCCTGTCTGTTGGGAAGCTTGTGATCCACTTACAAGTGTGTTCAGGTACCGCTAGCTGATTTAGTTTAGTTTAGTAAGATAAACGATCTCAAGATGAATAGTAATTCCCAGGCCACTTTCTATTTTGCTTACTACATTCATACCGTATCTAGATGATATTTTCAAAAGTTCGGTTTCTGTGGAAGATATGATTCAATTCTGATCATATCTTTGAAAATGATTAATTCTTTGTTTTAGATGAAAGTTTTTGTTTCCAAAATCTTGGCAGGGTAGATATCTTGTGACTAGTATTAAATTTTAGGTGCCTTTATATAGTATAAATTCCCCTCCCTGCTCTCTTTTGGAATATTCATACATAGCAACTTCAACTAACTGGACTGTTTGGGATCCAAAAGATCTGACACATTTTTTCTTAATATCAGTTTGAGTTTGATATCAGTATCAAACTCAAATCAGTATAACTTAATGTCAGTATACTTAGTTATCAGTATACTTAATATCAGTATCAGTTTGAAAATTGTTGTATGCCATTTCTGGAAAATTGCATTTTATCCCTTTTCTCATATCAGACTGAATTTAAAAACCTGTTATATGGAATATTTGGATGGATACTGGAAATGTTACTTTAGAACATCTAAAGGATGACAAATGCCGAGTTTTCATTATTGCCCAATGTTAAAAGATAAACACTATTTGTCTGTTGCCACCCACTGGCAGAATTTATAACTACAGCATTTAGTGACATCTCAATTTTGATCTGAGACATTTTCTGCATTAGACACACCTATTTTCTAAAAAGTGATCACTTAAATAAAAAAACCTTCCATAGTCACAGAGATCATAAAACCTATATGATGTCTATTTTCAATAAATAAATTTGAAAGGCAAATTTTAAAATCTGAATGGAATCAGAAACTGGAGAGTCTCATTTTGTCTAAACACTGGAAAACTGTTTAATTTAATATAAAAGGTTTTGATTAAAAATTCAATTGCAGATTATTCAACTAAAATAGCATTCAGACTTATCTGATTCTTTTGTGTTGATATAGAAAAGGGAATCAATAAATACATTACTGGTGAAGATGCAGTGAGAGTATAGTTTTATTATAATTTATCTCATGTCCTAAAAGAATGATTTTCTAGGAGAATAAATTGCATATACAGTGGAGACTCTAGAAAGAGTGCAGAGAAGAGCAACAGAGATAATTAGGGGACTGGAGGCTAAAACATATGAAGAACTGTTGCAGGAACTGGATATATATAGTTTAATGAAAAGAAGGACTAGGGGAGACATGATAGCAGTGTTCCAATGTCTCAGGGGCTGCCACAAAGAAGAGGGAGTCAAGCTATTCTCCAAAGCACCTGAGGGCAGGACAAGAAGCAACTGGTGGAAACTAATCAAGGAGAGAAGCAACTTAGAATTAAGGAGAAATTTCCTGACAGTTAGAACAATTAATCAGTGGAACAACTTGCCTCCAGAAGTTGTGAATCACTAAATGAATGGTTGTAAGTCAAAGACTACCATTATTTTTCAGTTTGAGATAAATAATAGTTACGGCTTCAAATCTTCTAAATTACACAACTAATACATGGAAATTGATGCTGGGACACAAAAATGGTATCTTTGTATCCTTATTGCTAAGACACTGATTCTTCAACAGTGAAAAGATAAATTTATGGCCCAATTACTCAGTGGATTGATGACCTGATGTTTCTTGTGATTTATGAATGAGTTACAATCATAGTTTTGGTACAGACAATTATAATGAAATATAATAATCTTTTATGGAAATGGGTAAAATAACTTCTTATTAGTCCAAAATCAATCAGAATAAGGCTTCTTCATTGAAGATTATGGACTACAATCTACTACATAGGTTCAGTGCGCGTTGGTTGATAGATGCTTTTCAACTTCTCCATCAAGGACTGAGAGGTAGCGACTGGCTCAAAATCCCCCAGCTGAAGGGAAGGCTAAAACTTGGAGTTTCCCATTCAAATTCAGACCCTTAACCACTATACTTACTGGCACTCCCCCCCCACTTTTAATACATAACATCAGCTTCATAACATCCTTAGCTCTAAAATGTAAATGATTTACTTTGGTCTGGTTTTAAGATGGTATTTTCCTGCTGCTTGGGACGTGGTGGCTCAGTGGCTAAGACACTGAGCTTGTCGATCGAAAGGTCTGCAGTTCAGCGGTTTGAATCCCTAGTACTGCGTAACGGGGTCAGCTCCCGTTACTTGTCCCAGCTTCTGTCAACTTAGCAGTTTGAAAGCAAGTAAAAAATGCAAGTAGAAAAATAGGAATCATCTTTGGTGGGAAGGTAACAGCGTTCTGTGTGCCTTTGGCGTTTAGTCATGCCAGCCACATGACCACGGAGACATATTCGGACAGCTCTGGCTCTTCGGCTTTGAAATGGAGATGAGCACCGTCCCCTAGAGTCATGCAAGGGGAACCTTTACTTTTACCTTTCCCTCTGCTTGCAGCAAAAAATGTGTCATGCAAATGATCAATAATCAACTCAATTGTATAATTGAATTAAATCATCACCTCAGCCTGGGAAAATCTGACGTTCATACCTGCAAAGCTGCACTTCTCTTTTTGATACCAGCCTTATAATATATAATGTATGTAGATTTTATATATTTAAATGTGTGTATGTGTGTAAAACACTTAAGAGACAGGAATATATAATATATTATAATATGTATATTGTGATTGAGGCTTGTTTTGGTCATACACCATTACCAATTAGATCATTTTTAATGCTAGTCTCTATTCCAGAAATCCCAGCTTTATGGCAGAAAAAAAAATTCACAATGGAGATTCCATAAGCAAAATTGTAATTAAATATTTGCCCCCTTTAAATTCTTGCTTTATCAAGTTACTATCAAAACTGCTTTAGTGCCTTAGCTGTGCCATCACTCTCTCTTAGCCCTACTCACCTCACAGGGTTTCTGTTATGAGGAAAATAAGAAGAGGAAAGTGTGTTGGATATGTTCTTTGCCTTGAGTTATTTGTAAAAATAATAAAGGTGGGATACAAATGAATAAATGTACGCAAGCTGATTAGATGAATCAAATGATTCGATAGTATATATATTTACACTTTTTAAACAAAAGGGTTATGAAATATAACTTTGAAAGAGAATATGTCAAATAGAAAAAGAATATTTTATTATAGAGTAAGTGTGCACTTAAATCTACATCTCTCCATCCCACTCACTCACCTTTGTTAATAAAGGTTGAAATATGTTTAGGGTAAAAGAAATCTGTATCTTTCAACAGATTTGCTTGTTTTTGTGAGAATTGATGGTGGGAGAAAGAAAGGAAATAAGCTCTTTCACATAAGTGCTGTAAGTACATGCCCTTGCAGACTTTCTGATGTTCCCAGTGTCTGCATAGTTAAAACCAGCCTTCAGATGAAACGATTGAAAGATCGGCAGTTCAGCGGTTTGAATCCCTAGTGCCGCGAAATGGGGTGAGCTCCCGTTACTTGTCCCAGCTTCTGCCAATCTAGCAGTTTGAAAGCATGTAAAAAATGCAAGTAGAAAAATAGAGATCACCTTTGGTGGGAAGGTAACAGCGTTCTGTGCGCCTTTGGCATTTAGTCATGGCAGCCACATGACCATGGAGACGTCTTCGGATAGCGCTGGCTCTTCGGCCTTGAAACGGAGATGAGCACCACCCTCTAGAGTCGGGAACGACTAGCACATATGTGCAAGGGGAACCTTTACCTTTATCTATTGTGTTATGGAAATCAGCAAATAAAGAAGATGAAAATGAATGTCTTCAAAGGCTCCAGAGTTGAAGTTCAGATCCTGGAAGGCTTCTTTGTCCCTCAGAATGCTGAAATAGCAGTACAACTAAGAGGAACAAGCTGTAGAATGGGAAATCTTAACTGAATTTTCATCATATGGAATTCACTTTAGGTAAGCCTCTTAGCCTTATTTTGCAGGATAGGGATATCAAAGTTACAATACTTATCATAATTAATTAGATCTTCCAACATCACTTTTTGTAAAGCAATGTAAAAATATTCAACTATTTTAGTTCGCAAGATTTCTGCAATATTTATTTCTTAACACTCTTTAAAATCTCAAAACACAACTCCAGCTAGAAATTAGACATTTCAGCCAATCACTTCTAGCATCTGACTGTATCTCTGCCCAACAAAACAACTCTACATCCTGTTACAATGATCTCCATTCTTCAATTCTTTTTCTTCACTGGACACAAAATGTTGAGGAGCAGCAGCAAGTGCTGCAATTAAAATATACACATAAAACTCCACCCAAAGAGGGATGAAAACATACCTCAAAATCAAATGCAGAACAGAAATCTATGTTAAAGGGATTTTGTACTGTACGATAAAGTTCCAAATGCTAAAGCTAATTTCTGCAAAGCTGAATGGTTTGCTCATGTAGAATTGGAGTAGAGCTGTGCTGTTTCGCTGTATGTTTTGTACTTGTGCACAGTTGTTTTAAGCCTGTCCCTAATTCAGAATATCACCAAAATTAGAGATCTTCTGAGCTTTGATGCTTGCTTCAATCAATATCTAGAATAGATTTCCAAATGATGATGGTTTTTTTTTAAAGGATGGAAATCAAGTACTGTAATTCTGGGTTTTACGCCAGTTGTGGAAGGATGGTTTTAATTACTCCACAGGGTTGCTGTACTGGTTGTCAGACTCGCTAATAAGCAGCTGGCTTTGTGCTCCCACCCACTGGGAGACTGTCAGTCAAAGCTTGTAGCAGTTATATAGCAATGAGATGCTCAGTTAAGATCCATATGTAGCAAATTGAGACACCTCACAGAGGTTCTGTATTATATACAGCATTACCGATTTATCTTGGCCGCAGTTGAACAAAAGAGGCAGAGCAAAACAAGAAGAGGCACATCAGAAACCACCGACGCTTACCAGGACAAGGCTGCTTTCAACATCATGAACAGCTCTCTGGATGAACCTCTCCATTACGCGGGGGGCTACCAACCCCAGGACTCCAAGGAATGGAAGGTGATCATCCCGGCTTTCTTGGGGGTGATTTGCCTGGCGGGCTTTGCTGGGAATGTGTGTGTAATTGGAATCTTAATGTACAATACAAAGAAAGGGAAGCCTTCGGTGATTCATTCTTTGATCTTCAACCTCAGCCTGGCAGATCTGCTCCTCGTTCTTTTTGTCCTGCCCTTCAGGGCAGCGGCTTATTCTCAAGGAGTCTGGTACTTGGGCTGGTTTCTTTGCAAAGCCTCTGACTGGTTCCAACAAGCTTGCATGACAGTGAAGAGTCTAACTATTGCTGTGGTGGCCAAGACATGCTTCATGTATGCAAATAATCCAGCGAAACAAGTGAATATTAAATGGCACGCCATCTGTGCAGTGCTGATGGTTATTTGGCTGGTTGCCTTGGGAATCCCACTACCTCTGTGGTTCTTCAGCAGCCTTTGGGAGCCAGAGATAGGCTCATCTTTGTGCATTGTGATTATTCCAACCCAAGCTCATGAGTTTATGTCAGCCTTTGTCAAATTTTACCCCTTCCTGGTATTTTGTGCCCCTCTCACCTTTGCTTTCTTTTATTTCTGGAGAGCATATGGTAGATGCCAGAGGAGGGGGACCAAGACTCAAAATCTAAGGAATCAGATTCGATCCAGGTGTTTGACAATGATGCTTCTGAGTGTTACCATTACTTCTGCTGTGATGTGGTTTCCTGATTGGATATCTTGGTTCTGGCTCTGGCACCAGAAGAAGGATGGACCTGCTCTCCCACAAGGTTTTATGGCCACTACCCAGGTTTTGATGTTTGCCATCTCTTCAGCAAATCCTGTTATCTTTGTACTCATGTCTGAAGAATTCAGAGAGGGTTTTAAAGGTCTATGGAAATGGTTTACACTGAAAAAGCCTCTACCTCCTACAGAAGATCTGGAGGAAACAGCAGTTGATAACTTGGAGGGAATCCCGAGCAATGCTCCTTCACCAGAGGCAATGACTCCTAATCAAGAGGAAGAGCCCCCTTCTGTCCCTGCTACCTCAGAAGACTTGGAGATGCCCGTTTTGCCAGATGTTGAGCAATTCTGGAATGAAAGGGAAGCTCTTCCTGATGCTCAAGACAATGATCCTGTTCCTTGGGAACATGAAGGACGAGAGATACCAGGATGCGATCAACCAAAGTGCAATTAGGAAGCTGGAAACCAAATTTTACTAGGTTGGATTCAGGCATAGTCATGTTTAGGGGAGATTCACTGAAATCATGGGATGTTCCTTGGATAAGACTAATTAAAAATCTATAATGTTAATGGATCTCATTCTAACATGCTTAAATCTGATTACACTAGATTTCTTATTATTTAGGTGATGTTGAACTGGCAGTGTAGCATGTAGAAGTTATTTTAATTATTGTACTTAGTTTTTCTCTTTTCATGTGTCTTTATTGTCTTCACATTTACTTCTTCAATTATTGTGTGATGCACAGATGCAGCTCTCATTCTCATTACTCTTCTGTTAAAGAGTTTATTATTTAAAAATTACATTGCACTTCTGGATGCTAATTTAAAGTTTCAGAACATTTTTTTTTAAAGTTAAATTTGTAAAGTAACATTGTTTATGAGCTGGTTCTATGTGATCTATGTTTAAACTTTAAATATTGAACAAAGAATTGCAAAGGAAAAGGTATAATTTGATTTTCAGTAGTGAGAATATTTATTATATATTTTCTTATCAGTACTACAGAAAATGTATATTAAATATGCTGAAAGAAAAGGTGGATCAAGTTATTATATTAACTGATAAGCTTTCAAATTGTTATTTTCTATTACTGAAACTCAGTAATTGAACTGAATTTATATTTTAGTGTTCCGAGGAAGTCAATTCCTATGTACTGCATTAAGATCATTTAGTAACAAAGGTTGTAGCTGGCAGTATTCTATTAACTTGTATTTTAGTCATATCAAATAGACAAAGATTTCACAATATGCAATTTAGAATTCCCCCCCCCCCCAAAAGCTGTATGACTTACTGATGTATAAAAAATATATTGACTGTATGCTGTTGGCATTTTCATCTTACTGTTTTTATAATTTTTGAAACAAGTTAACTGATTATTATTCAGATGTGACAAGCTGTGATATGCCCATTTGTGACTTAGCAAGACTTCAAGTGGAAACTAATTTGTCTTATGTCCAACCACACAGACAATACATAACTGTGGAGTCATATAAATACATACAGAAAAATTAATGATCTACTTTTGCTTTCTAAACTGTTTAATGGAATCCCCCCCCCCCAAATGAGATCAGTTGTATGTTTCATAATTTGGAAAATAATTAAATGAAGAGCAGGCGGCTGTTAAAGATATCAACTCCATCAGCAAGCAGTTTAAAAATCACTCTTTATGGTCAACTGTTTGTAGAGAGTGGCATCTTTGTCAATTTTTTGATTATCCAGTGTTTTATCTCCATCAGTACTAAAAATTGTGAGAAAAGGCAGTAGTCTGTAGCATCCAAATACAATATTTGTCCTGTGCTTTATCCAGCTATTGTACTGCGTTGCTCTAGCAGCTTGTGTGTGTGCATGCGGCACTAGCAGCATTGCATTTGCCACTAAAGCTTTTTTTTTTTTACTAGATAAAAAGTTTGGTAAGAATGTGCCCAGTAAAAAACAACACACACATACACTGAAAAAAAAAGCACTTTGGTATCTGCAGATGAAACAGCTCGACTCATGTGCCATTTTTGTCTTGTGAAAGAAAAAAAATACTGCTATGCCAAGAAGTAAACTGGATTGGACAGCATGCCAATTAAGATAACTTCCGGACACACAGGTGGGGTGTATGCAAATCAATTTCATTTCGGACAAAACTCCCCCCTTCCCCCAGGAAACTGTTACCTTAATATTCTGATTTCATCTGTGTTGGTCATTTATTTGTGCAAAGCTTTGTAATTCAAGATGCTAAATCTGAATAGCCACATGCTTGTTATATTTTGAAATGCATTTTCTGTGCAAATGTCATGGAATCACAGTAACAACTTGTCATTTTTTTGCTATTTTAGAGATATTACCCAGTCATGCCTTTATTTAATTTTAAACTATGAGCATTAATTGTATTGTATAAGTATGTCTCCACCATTTATATTAGAATTTTGTTGCCCAATACAATATAATTAATTTAAGGTTAAATTTACAAGATATTACATAGTCAGGCTGGTTAGATTTTTTTTAAAGAGATAAGAAAACTATAGTCAACCAATTGAACTGTTATATGAATCACATAAACATATACTCATGTATAAGCCCATCCAAGGATAAACTGACCCACATTTTTCATGGTATTCTGGTTCAATTTGAGGGTTTGCTTAGCCATGAGAACTACAATAAATGCACGAGGACAAGTCCATCGGTGGATAAGATGCATCCAATTTTTAAGCTTTCTTTTAGCACCTAAATTCTTGGTTTATTTCCAAGTTATGCGGTTTTTAATACTTTAAAATATTTTTTAAAATATTTTTTTTCTAATACTATAAATTTGCATTGATAAGCATCTAAACTGAACATTATCTATAGCCCCACACCCACACCCACCATTTTGAGAAAGCATAAGTGAAATAAGTGAAAAACAATGTTATTGCCATGATTAACAGCTCATTAAGAATCAGAAATTGTTGATGTATTGCAAATTATGTGTTGTTCCACCTGTGAAATTCATGATATAAATGTGTTCTGATTCATTTCGAATTCAAGAGATGTGGTTAAATTAAATTACAATTTTGGACTATTTGAATTTTTTCCTTTGTCTAGGCCCCAAGATACTTAGAATTAGCACTTTGAACTAACACTGAAATTAGTGAAGCTGGTAACAAATGTTGGTATTCACCAACAAATGAGTTCCTGTTGGCACTTTAAATGCTGTTTTGTATCAAGCATTTTTTCAAATATAGTCCCATATCTTGCAAATTAAGTATCGCCATCTTCAGAAATGGACCTAGTTCCAACCTAAGCACACAGAGTCTAACCAAAAGTACAGCCTAACTATCCTGGAATATAGACACTATCCACAAACAACTCGAGTGCTTATGGGATTCCTTTTAGAGGTACAATGGCATTCAAAACATGCGGGATTCTTAAACAATGCAAATAAATAAGAGAATTTTGTGCGGTTGGTATTGCATTTCAATCTTCGGACATCCAACTTACTACTGGTCTCAGACACAAAATTAAAATGGAGTGGAGAGGAGATAAAGCAAAGCCAAAAAGAAAAAGAAAAAAGAGAGATGAGGGTGATTTTATTGAATGACATCCACTACCAAACATGTGGATAATTTCATCAATTATTTTCTGAAGTACTGTGGAGCAGTATGGGGGACAAAAAACATTGAAGATTGGAAATACGGTGAAATGCTCAGCAAGTGTTTTCTGAAATTACTGTTCGGGAAGAACTAAAAAGACCAAGAAGCATCTTCCCAAAGTTCATTCTGGTTAGAAATATGAGAATATTGGTTATTTGTACCAAAGGTCATAAGGATGGCTAGCCAAATCCAAGGACACATGCTGCCAACCCAGCACACATATGCACATAAAAAGAGGTCTCAAGCATTCATCAACCGTTTTAAAATGTTCAGAGACAAAATTAAATAGAAAGCTTTACAGCTATACTCTTAGTATTAATATAAGGATTACATGATCTGTAAAGCAAAAATGAGTATATACATCCACAGCAGTTTCAAATATAACTGATTTTCTCCATTTTTAATGGAATTTCAGGTGATTATATAATTTTATCTTTAGAATGTAACACGCAATTACTAATATGTACAATGCATATATAAAAAGGGTTGGTTTATTGTCGTTCAAATACATAAACTGAACAATCCCAACATTTCAAAATTAAACTATAGAAACACAAGTTTAACATTCAAAACAGAAACATAGTTTACAAGAAATATCCAGGAAAAAAAATCCATATTCTAATCCAAAGCAGATAAGAGACATTTTAATAGTAAATAAAAATGTTTTTGTACAACCATGCTGTCCTGGCAACTTTTTTACCCCTGTGTATTTTCATTTCAGAGCAAAACATTACCAAACTACCAGGCAAAGCCACTTGATTGTGCCTAACCAGGGGTGGGGGATAGAGGAGGGAAGGGGGGGACAGGGAAGAGAGCAGCCATCAAGGCAGGCTTATTAACTAGATCAAATGGTGTTTATATAATTTGGTCACTGCACTTTTATTTTCCTCTCATGCTGGATCGGGCATTAATGAAGTTAGTCCTGATTTATGCAGGAAAAGTCACACATGAGTAAAAGATTAGGCCCTATCTTTCCAGGTTCACCAAAGGGCATTATCTCACTATGGTCTTCTGCACTCAATAGATTAATCCTCAGAGTACATGACATTAGCTCTCCCGTTAGGACATATGGGGTATTTTTACAGTTCTCAACTTCAAGTCATATGTCAATTTTCCCATGGCTTTGACATGTAACACTGTCAGGAAGAACACTTCCAAATGCTACCAATATCCAAGCCTTGTACCTAAATATTGTATTGTTCTAGGATTGAAAAATCACTGGAAATAGTTGCATGGTTAGAATATTTGTCAGTCATGCAACAAAGAGAAAAAGCATAAATAATGCAAATATTCTCTCTGTACAGAGACTGCTTAATGTTCATAAATGTTGCTTCCTGGATGGTTTTGCAATAGGTTCATGGTAATGTATATGATTAGACCTGACAGATGGCTCATGCAATTTTCTTGATTTAACATAAATCTTTTGCTCAATAATATTTTATAATTATTTTGTTGTTCGCCTTGTAGGTTCTGAAGCTGTAGGAGGTGGAGGGGGACCTCTGCGATCTAAATCATCAACATAGGATACGATGAGTTTTCGCCTTTCCTCTGGCACACAATCTAATACCAGATAACGTTTGTCATTCTGTAATATCTTTTCTATATCTTTCAGGTGTTGGTCAGATTCCTGGATTAATTTTTTGGATCTGCAATTAAATATAAAGATTATCATTATCATCAAATTAGTGGATGTTACACAAATGAACTAGAATTTTGGTAATAATACTCGTGGACAAGCATCCAGTTAACAAGGCTAGAAACCAGGAAACTGTATTTAACTCCCACCTTAGACATGCAAGCCAACTGAGCAACTTTGGACCAGTTACTCTCTCTCGGTCTAATTTACCTCACAGGGTAGTGGTTGTTGGGAAAACAGGAGGGGGAAGGAATATTAGATGGATTCACTGCCTTGAGTTATTTATAAAAATAATAACATGAGGATTAAAAAATTCTCGGGGTTACCTAAAAGACTGCCTCTTCAGGCCTGAAGTGAAGCAAAGTATTAGGGGCTTTTTTAAAAATTGCCCTGTCACTGCTTATGCTCTATATACAGGGTTAGGCTTCAGTTTTGAGAGCTATAAGGTTTAAAATTAGCACTAATTTAAACTGTAAAAATGTAAATAGGGAAAAGATTTGTCACTTTGTAACCAAACAACACTATAGGAAACATATTCCCATAACCTAATGGTAGTCCAGGTTAAACTTTAGGATCAAATTAATCTCATTAATATTTAGGCAGCATTAGTTTGATTTTTAGGACTGCTGAACTCTTAAACTTGAATGAAAGCAGGAGGAGGAGAATACAATTTCTCTTGAGAAAGAGATTGTGTACTGCCATACCATGATGTCATAAGGAAGATTTAAGAATCTTAACGCTTGAAGAAACTCTTTAGGTTTGGGGCCATTTTTTACTTACAAGACTGCTCTTCAGGAAGCAGATCATCTAGATCTAATTCAGTGGCCACATATAAAGTACCTGCCTTTCCTCTTCTATTAAGAAATAAATCCATATCATGCTGAATATATATTCCTATATATATATATTCCTTTTGTATAATTAAAAATGATTTAGTCCCCACAATATACACACACAAATTTCCTTGTGTGTCAAATAAAGTATTCCATTCAATTTCCAGAAATATCAATGTTAAACACTATCAATAGTGAATCACTATCACTAACTCATAATCTGGTACATCTATAATTTTTGGAAAAGAGGCTAAACCAAAAGTCCTACAATATTAACTAAGTATTATTCCATATTAGTCATTTAAGATAAAAACAATACAGAAATGAAGAAAACCATTCGTGTACTGTATCTTATAGCATACCTGTATGTTATAAATTTGGTCTCTTTCAAAAGTGTTCTGAAATCAGCTTTGGCTGTAATATATTTGTCTCTGATATATTCTTCAAACTCCCTTTGCTTTTTCTGCATTTAAAGAAATAGAAATAATCACTAGAAATTTCTGCCAGATTATATATATATATTTCTTGAGGAAAAAACATATAAAGAGGAGGTTGTTATATTTACTTTTAAACAGTAAGACAAAAACTCAGGGCAAACCAGTACAAGTTTCTTACTCTGTCACTGGAAGAGAATTTAATGCATCTCGGATCTTCTTTAATTATCTTCTTTACTTCTTTCCATGTTGATGTTAAGGTAATCTTTGAAAGAAAAAAAAAACAGAAAAATTGCATGTTTAATGAATGAAGTATTTAAATTTTAAGTGTACATGGCCACGAATAAAGGATTATCTGCAATTTAAAGCAGCTGCATCCCCATCTACCCATAATCACAAACCTGTCATGCATCCCAGGAAAAGGCATGGCTCTTTTAAAGAGTTGCGAACAGGCACTACACTCTTTCCAAGTCCTTTTAGACTTAAGTCTAAACTAGCACTATTCAGTGACTAATGAATAGTGACTATGGTGTCACAATAATAGAATATTTAAATAGTGCAAGATAAAAGAACTCCCTGTTATGCGAGGCCAGCTTCCACTGCATGGCTTTTACATACACATAGATGTGCTGCCTATTTTATTACCCAATGTTCCCTTTCTCTCTCTCCTCATTCCTTCATTGATGGAAAAGCATAGATGGTTCTATTTCATTAAGAAATTACAGAAGGTACTAATGGAGCTCACAGATCTATGAATCAGGTAATTTGCAGGTTGAGCTGAATTTTATTTTACTGTCCAAACCTTTTTAAAAGGATGATAATCTGAGATTATTCATTAACAGTATTTAAAATAAATAAAATGTGAGGCATTTACCTTGATACTATTTAATTAGTATATGCCACTGCACCTATTGGTAAGTTGTTTTAAGTATAGCGATACATACAGGATCAAATCTATTCCCTCTCTTGCCAGTGATTGGTTCATACATTCCTGAGATCTCCAGCCCTTAAAACACTAAAAGGGAACAAAAAAATGTTTACACAAATCCCTCAACTACCTTTTTCCTATGGTTTAGCTTAGAAGTAGAAGTGCAGTATAGGCTTGCTCTAGTCTATCAGCAATGGTTTCCAGATTTTGTGAATCTTAAAATAATGGTTAATTGGAAGACACTAATTTCTCTGAAGAATAATATCATTAAGATATGAACATAAATTGAGCTAAGGAACCACAAAATTATGACATTAATGTCCGGGGAAAATATAAGACATATTAGCCTTACTGATGAAGTTTCATCTAGAAGTTGCCGGAAATGTTCTTTTTTCTTCTTTGTAAGTGCCTCAATGTGTTCATTAAAAAGTTTTTCCTTCTCTTCTCTTTCCAAAAGGGAGCCAGATTCCCAACGATGATCTTTTCGGAGTGTCCTCCTTGTATCGGACCATGACACATCTGAAGATCGTACCTAGCAGAAGAAAACAAATATTTCATTACCA